TACGTCACAGGAAGGCCAGCCGTTTGCGAGGAAGGTCAGAAACCTGGGCGGCGGAAATGTGGGCGGGGCATCAGACACAGGTGACCCTCGCGCTGTCCTGGGTGTGGCGGCAGAACAGCTCGCAAACACCCCGCCACATGGCGGCCTGCGGAGCGCGGCCCTGGGGCCGGAGGCGGCCTCGGGTCCTCCGCGCTGCCTCAGGGGCTGTGCGCCGGGAGCGGGCGCTCTGCCAGCTGGGCCTCGCCAAGGCAGCCGTCACGCGACACTATCTCCCTTGTGCAGCAAGCTCGGTGGCAACTGATACATGGTGCCCGGGCCCTCGGTGTCCACACTCGGAGTAAGCACCAGCGAGGCCAGGTCTGGGGCGGTGTGAGGGGGGGAGCCCCCTCCTGGTGGGCTCCGAGCTCCCCTGGTCCTTCCAGACGCCCACACCTGCCTTCCTCCAATGTGACGGGCGCCCTGAGGAGAGCAGCGTGATGGGAGGAGTCGGGTGAGCAGGTGGCACTGACCTCAGCAGAGCGCCCTGCACGGGGCCCCCACGCCAGGGTGAAGCCTCCAGTCCTGGGCTCATTCTCGCGGGGGCACCCCCAGCCGCGCCACCTGCTCATGCCAAGGATCTGGCTCCCGCGACTGTGAATCCTTCCGGCCCGGAGTCCCCCGGGCCGTCCTCTCAGCTCCCAACTGAGTCCTCCAGGAGAAGCCGCCTGGCCCCTCACCCCACGGGGAAGCAGAGCTGTGGGTCACAGGAGTTATTGCCATGCATGGGGAGGTCTTGCCCCCCAAGTAACATCTGTCCCCTAGACACAGTCCCTCCTTCTGCACCCCTGCACCACTGGGGCTTCTTTCCACCCCTGGGTGACCTCTGCGGCGTCCACTTTTGGGCCTGCCAGTTCCATCTCCTGCAGACTTCCCAGGCCGACTCATCCCGGCTCCCAGGATTGCCATCCAGGATGGGGGCCCTCCCCCACATCTTCCTTCCTGAGTCTGCCCTAGCACAGGGCCACTGCTGCCGCCCCCCCCCGCCCCCCGGCGGCCCCTTCAGGGCTTATCAGCCCTCAGAGCTGAGCCCCTGTTTTTATGTGATTTCAAGTTCTCTTCAGAGGAGGCGCTTTCTCGGTCAAGTGCTGGGTTGGATTTGTCTGGACGTGCCGTGTATCGCCCTGTGTTGCCTGTGCGTTCCGACCACAGTCTCAGCCCAGGGCTGTCTCCTTCCCAAGCCCATCTTTCATCCCTTGGTCTGCAAGACCCAGTTAGGAAGCCCATATATTACTCTGGAACTCTGGAACTTCAGAATCCCTTGGAAAGAATGTTAAAATTCTTGCTTAGAGACCTTTTGATTTATTAGGTTTCAGACTGGGTCCAAGCTCTGAATTTTAAATAAACGTGGTGGGGGCTGGGCCCTGGGCTGTGGAAAGAGCGAATTTTGTGAGTGTCCTGGACACAGTCCGTTCCTAGAGCCCCAGGTCTGATCTGTGTGTCCCAGCTGACCCCAAGGTCAAGGATGCCACCCCTGCAAGCCCTTTTATCTCCTCTTGCCCTCCTGCTGATGCTAAGGGCCCTCAGGGCAGGAGCAGCAGTGATCTCACCTGCTGCTCCCCCACAGGTTCAACAATCTCCCTTTTATATTGTGGCATGGACCAATCAGGTGCGAGCTATGAGCTGATTGGTGCTCAATGGTCCAATCAGCCAGGGGAAGGAAAAATGGCCCAATCAGATCAGACTTACTGGTGGGGGGGTGGTGCCCTGAGACATTATAAGCCAGGGCTGGAGGGAGCCAACACACTGTTGCACCCACTGAAGAAAGGTGGGGAAGGAGGGCGAGCAGCTGGCCAGGGAAGGAAGAGATGTGCGGACTTAAGTGCAGCGTCCTCTTTTGTTTCCCCATGGCCAGGAGGGAGCCCAGAGGCCCCCCAGAGCCCCCCCCCACCCAACTTGCTGCCTGTTGCCGGTGCTGCCCGGCCGCTCGCGAAGCTGCTGATCTGGGCTTCTGGGGAACCGGTGGTGACCATCACACCGGCCGGTGCTGCCCGTCTCTGTCAGCGAGTGGCCGGCACGCTCTGTGCTTCCGGCGGACCCCCGGGAGAGGGGGCGCTGCGTGCGGGCCAGCGAGCTCTGTCTCCCTGTGTGTGAAGTCAGCCCCGTTGCCCTTCTGGGGCCCGCGTCGGCTGCACCTGGCGTGGGGGGCCACAGAGGGCTTGTCCCCGGGGGCTGCCCCTGGCCAGCCGCAGCCCCCACGTCTAGGCCTGCGAGAGCCCTGGGTTTGGTTCTGGCCTTCTGACCTTGTGGGCTTCCGACTGCTCTCTAGTGGTGGGCTGGCATCCTGGCCTGCCCACCCGGCGTCAGTTGGGGCAAAGGGGTCACAAGAGCAGTAATACGCAGCAGGCTGACCCCTGTTTGATCCGTTCCCTGAGGACTGCCCTGCCCAGAACAGTGCTCTTGACTGGCTGGCGACTCATCTGTGTGAGAAGAAGTCACTGCTGGGGGCGGCAAGCCTGGTGGGGCTCCCGCAGCCTCCTCAGCAGGTGCCCTGGCCACGTGGGAGGGGCCTCCGCTGGGGAACCCAAGGTTTCCATTAGCGGGGGTCCTCCTCACACTGGGCCTCCCCGTTCCCACTGTCAGGGGAGGGGACGACCGGTCCCCTGGGCCACTCAGTGAACGTCCACCTTCCCACATGGGCTTCTGGAGGGAAGCTGTGTCCGCCCTGCAGGTAGC